CCTATTTCCAGCTCTGTATATATATGTTTCTTAATTAGTCCCAATAATCATTTTCCACATGGGAAAAAAATGTCCCGAACGATTTTTAGAATAAGCCCCACCCTAATGTGACGTCCCCAGATGCATAGAAAAACAGTGGAGAGGAAACAAGGCTGAAAAGTAGCCGCCTGTTTTTAAGTACAAAAATGATGCGTCTTACTACTACAAATTCGGGATAGTGGACTATACCAAGAAGAAGCCCATAAAGGACGAAGAGGAAGACAAGCAGCGGGCAGGTGTTGAAACTGTTGACGTTTTTTACTACCCTCGCTTTGTTGTCGTGCGCGACAGTCTGTTTGTATTCGTACTCTTATGTTCTACCGTCTTCTCTCTTACACAACCCAAACGGTAGTACAACATTCGAGAAAAAAGAAAATTACCAAAGACTATCATAATATCATCGGATAGGGGCAACTATCACCTTTCCGATGTTATGCCTGATATGAAATGTGTGATTTCATTCTAATTCCTCAATTCGGTGTAAATTAAACTATTTCTGATCAGAAATGTTATTACTAGGACATCGTTGTTTGCTATTTGCAGAATTCACACAAGCACAACATCAGCAGCTCTTATTATGAGAAAAAACTAAAATACATACATTCGTAACGGTCTTCGGCGACAGTGTCGTATGGCAGAGCCTGTCAAATGACATTTATGTTTGGTACTGTAATTTGATAGCTTGTTTTGCAAGTGTCGAAAGCAAAGGCAGTCGATTATCACAGAAAATGTGTCGACTACGATGACCGCTTACAAGACAGGCAGCGGGTGCTGCTGAAGGAAAAACAATTTATTGAAGTAGCAAGGGAGTTGAGGGCAGGGGTTTGACATATAGCTGAATACACGTACTCAACATCAAAACAACAAAACATATCATGGTACCACTGACAACGTTGCAGATGTTCGGTACGCAGCAAACTTAAGCGATATGACAGCCATATCCATCCCCTGGTTGAGGGCACGAATGAAAGCGGATACTAAAGTCAATTCGTTGTTTTTCAATGATGAAACAGCAAAAAAGCAATGTGGAAGACATGACAATGATGAAGATTAAAGAGAACAATGAGCACTAGGGTGGGTCAAACTTGTATGGTGGATTACAAAACCCTCTGGTTCCCATTACTCTTTCGATTTGTTTTGAGATTCTCAGCAACTGTGACAAATTTTAATGAACTTCAACGGGTTGTGATCTGGATTTGTGGGAGAATTTTAAGGTTTGTATGGGAAAATGTATTAAAATATTCACATTTGTCAATTTTGCCCAAACCTGAGATTGTGCAATGGGCCCAATCTTAGATCCATAGGCAAACATTAGAGCCATTTCCCCTATTTGGTAATTTTATGGTTGGTCGAAAATGATCAACTTTTAACGATCTGATTATAATTTTTATTTTACGGTTCGGTTTCGGTTTTTTTAATTACAGAAATCCGTAATAAAAATCTAAGTGTGAAGTGACAGAAATTTATGCAACTTTTTCGAACAGTGTATGATCGTACTTGCCAAACAATAATACTAATGCAAAGATGTTACAAGCCTAGAAAGCTATCAATTAACAACTGTGGAAGTGCTCAAAAGATCACTAAGTTGAGAGCCAGCGTAATAAATCCAAAGATGATGCTTAGATCTGTTATGCTACCGTTGAAAGGTTTTAAATAAGTTGGTTATTTGAGAGGTTTATCAATTTAACTTTGAGTCACTTGTTTTATGTGAATATTGTGTTGGAAAGGTTTTTCTTTTATTTTAGTCATTTTTTTATGTGATGGACATTAAGATGGTCCTTGCTGTTTACGAGTTATAAATATCAAAAATTGAATTGTTCACGTGATGCGAGTAACAACCAACAGTTAGTTAGTTATCTTTATTAAGGAAACTTTCAGCCGAACGCTGGTTCGTCTCCGTACAACCAACAGACAATACACAGTAAATATTATATTAGACATGACAAGAAACAGAAATCTATTATCCTAAGAAGAAGGCAAAATACATAACGCCAAAACCGTTGAAAAGTAGAAACACCCTTTAATCATTTTTATATGACTGAAAACCAACCCAAAAAAGCAATTCAGCAATAGACTATCTCGAATTAGTTAAGAGTTTTTTTTTTTCAGAAGGTATATAAACATCATACACACTTAGAAAATTAATGTAATTTTAGATGCTCTGAGACTGACATATCCGGGCGTAAATTTTGAAATAAAATTGAGTCATAATACCCGAAATTCAGCTCAATGAGCTAACAAACGGGAATTTTACCGAGATCTCAGCTAACAAACATAAATTTTGCTGAATCTCGTCAAGTATTTCAATGAGATCCAGCAAAATAAAATGCCGAGGTGCTCGGTGGTGCCCATCTCGGCAAAAAATCTAAGCATGTAATTTTACATGACATGTTTGTTTACGTCTCATCCTTTATGTCAAAGATGAATTCCGTCCGTGTACGATTAGGTATTTCTTTTTTTTTTTTCCTTTATTAGAGAGATTTTTAGCCATAGGCTAGTTCATCTCTTAATTAGGTATTTCTAAGTGTGTAGGTATATGAAAAGTTCTGAATTCAACGTGAGATGTTCGCCAATATCTCTTCATCGTTTTTTTTTTCTCGATATTGTTGTTAGAAAGTGATCAATTTGCCCCTGAATATAGCACGAATTATTTGTTCCTACACTAGCTTGATCAGTCAACTCCAACTCAGGTCTGTATGGGTAGTGAATGTAGAAAAGATCGTTTTTCATCATTTTTTTACGCATGCGGTGAGGTCCTTCCGTGTATCCAGCGTCCATTTTGTGAAATTGATCGTTCCTTTCGGTCCCCAAAGGCCTCTTTCTCTAAATAATTCAGCTTCTGATTGCAGCCACTCCTGATACACGTATCGTTGAGTATGTTGCGCCATATGAACTTGTTGAGAACTTCGCAATTCCCAGAAATCCTTAACTAAACATAATTTGACAAGATTCAAACTGATACATTGTTTCCGTATCAATTTCCGATTTGCCCTTATTCTGATCATCCTTTTTCACTTTCGTGCGGCTTGCCAGTCTTGTTAGGTTTTCCTGTAACTTTTTGAATTTTTGATTGAATATTATTATGCAATTCCCACGGTATTCGATCCTGAGCTCTTTTTTCTCCATCTATGTAGATAAACCAGACCTTTTTAGCAGATTCCAAGATTTGCTCTCTCGTAATTGTCATGTCCGGTGCTTTTGTATTATTTATTGGGGTGTGAGACTTATTTTGAAAACTTCTTCGATAGCCGGCTTCTTACAAACATATAGCTCTTCCCATACCCGCAATGCGGCATTTCCTATTAAATTTGTTCCTTGATGGTGATTAAGTGAGTTATCCCCAACATCATTTGAGTCATTGGTTGGATTGATGTGCCAAGTTGTTGTGCGATCAGCATCCCTTTGTGTCTTTAACATCTAACGGAATGCGATCGCTAGCAGTTAGTTGCATTAAGCAGAATGTTAGACATCCGGTAAAGTCTAGTTCGTGATTGCCAGCCCCGAAGATGATTAGTCTATTTGTTGTCAATTTGTGCAGCGCTTCCATAACCATCATTTGATCTGGAACAGTGTCTGTCGGGCGTGATAGCATAAATAAGATACAGCGATTTAACGAATGATACAAGTTATCTAGCGAAATAGCACTTGACCGTCTTCTTGCTTGGGTGATCAGTTTTATAATAAATTCGAAAATTTCATGTGGGTTTTTATTGAGGCTTCTTTGCCACAGTTTATCGACTATTCTAGCAGTCAGATAAAACACATTTGGTGCTATGTTCTGTACATGGCTATGAAGTAACGGAACTATCGGAAGAGCGGCTTGTTCTCCAACCAAAATATCAGCAGCCAGTAGATGATCCATAAGGGTGGTTATTATTTCCGTCAAGAATTCACACCTCGCATCGAATGAACTGTTTTCCGGATGAGTATCTAGTATATAATCTACAACTGGGGTGCATTTTCCACTATATGCCAAGCTTAGTGAGTCTACTGCGATAACACGCAGAAAATCAATGACGAATTTGCGTACAGGATGTTCTATTAGCTTTTGACCTTTTTTATCCACTATCCTCTTTTCCAGCTCTTGATAGGATACCAACTCTCCCGAGGGTGAAGAAATGCTGTTACTTTCAGAATCAATCGCTTTTATGCGATAAGGAAACATTATGCTGACCAATGAAGTGGTTACTTCAGCCGACATTACAACAGGCATAAAATCAGGAAGGTTGTGGTACAAAGAGAATAGAACTTGCACCAGCGTTATAGGGTGGTTATGGAGCCATTCGGCATTATTTGTTGTTTGTACAATTTTTCTTATTATGTTCAATAGTATACACACAGCTTCCGGACATAGTGATATCTTCGATGTAGATGTACCTAGAAGTTGAAAATTATGAAAATATTATTTAATTTGCTCTACATAGACCTTTCCCGTTTTTGCTACACCTACGAGGAATTTAAGCATGAATGTATAAAATATGAATCAAATCTGTAATTGATTAACAACAATGATAATAATTAAGAATATTAACAATTATAAAATCATTTTCGGTAACACATCTTGTTTTAATTTGCAACACCTGTCAAACTTACCGCTAAAACTTCACTTCTGCACAGTTTGCGTTTGAGTCTCTATAAAACGGGAAACTCCATAGAGCATAATGCAGCTCAGCCTATTTTCGAAGGCAACTTTTATGAAAAGTTAATGTGCCTCAAATTTGTTTCCGTAGAATCATAGTTAGGGGTCACCAAGCTCATAATCTGTGAGTTACCGTGGACCCCGGTATTTTGTATGGACAATTGTCTACGTAGGGGGAGGGGGGGGGGGTCAATCATCCCAAAAAAAACTGTCTACGTAGTTTATGAACAGGCCCTAAAGTTATGAAAAAATCCCCATCAAACATAGGGTCGGAAATGACTGCTAATTGAGTTATTCAACATTTTATGTTTTTTTTAATTTCCAACTTTGGTTAGCTATATTTTTTTAATCTTAATGTGGTTTTCTGATTTCAACATACCAAATGAAAGATTTAAGTCTTAGCTATCAAAGCTCTTTAGTAAAGAACTCGATTAAAGTTAATTATCATACATTAAAATTGAAAAGTATGTTGAAAGTACCAAAAAAACTGGTAAAATTTCATAAATTTTAGTGTTTTTAAGTTGAAAATTTTCATTTCTGTTGATTTAGTTGTTCTACAAAACATTCTCCATGCAGTCCCCTAGATTTGTGTCTTTGGTAGTAACCTTGTAGGCTTTATGGTTTCTTCATAATTATTGATTTAAAACAGCCATAAAAACTTGTGTCACAGCTGCGGTGCTGTTTCGATGGAGGAGTGTGGAGCTCCGCTTCTTCTGTAGACACACTTAGATTTTTTTTTTACAGGAGTCAGTATTTTTACTGGATTTTTGGATTACTGACTCGGTTAAAATTCAAATGACTGTTATTCGTAAAGATTGGATAAAATCGAAATTTTTTATTTTTCATCATTGCACGGGGTTAACAGAAGTTAGTCTGTAAATTTTCGTAACACATTTTCTCAACTTTGAATTTATCAACATTCCTCACTTTTTAAGATATCTAAGTCAAACTTCAATAAAAACACTTTGAATAGTCAAGTTTTGGTCACAAAGTTGGTAGATAACACATTGAGCTTTGCTATGAATGTTGTTTCAGGCATGAATATTATAAGCCGTAAATTACCTTAAAAACATAAAATTAACTTGAATCACCTCTAAATCATCACCGATTTTGCTGAAAATTTGCGTCGAAGTTCAAATTAATATGACGAACAGTAATCACGGTTGATCCGGTGCATCCCGAACATTTCTTTTAAAATGAACAGGTCTAGTAATCATATAATATTATATAATATTATGATCTTTCGACCAGCAAACTCATCTGCTCCCTTACCTTTGAAAGGAAATAAGACGAGTGCCTACCTTGTTTCATCGACCGAGTAGCCTCAATCAAACTGAGACTATCCGAGAAGATGAAGTAATGGTCTATGGGCATGTCGGAAATCATCCCCAATGCGAAGTATACATAAACGGAACAAGGTTCCTGTAAACACCGAATCCAGTGAATCCATCAGTGAAAAATCTTCTATTGCAATTAACTTGTTGGTACTTTTTAGCACAAATACGGGTAATTGAGATAGGTCGAAGTTGATCTGGAACTCCTTGAATAGCCTGTTTCATAGAGAGATTATAGTCAATGGGGGAACTGTAGTTAGTAAAGCATACACGAGGGGGGGGGGGGTTATAGCACAGAAGGCTTATATCCGATGACATATAATTAAGATAGAGTTTTCAATCACAAGGTTGTTACAGACACTACATTTAATCAATACTCTTACTGAGAGCTCCCAAAAACGGTTCTGCAGGGGTTTTACTCCCGCTAGAACCTCTAGGCTCATATTGTGTGTTGAATGTATACAGCCAAAGGCAATACGTAAACAACGATATTGAATGCGTTCCAATTTAATTAGGTGGCTGTTTCTTGCTGAGAGGAAGCAAGAAGTGTCATACTCAAGAACTGAAAAAATAGTCGTTTTATACAGTTTAATTAGGTCTTCCGGGTGAGCACCCCACCATGTCCCGCAAATTGATCGTAGAAAGATGATCCTTTGTTGACACTTATGTTTCAAATACTTAGTGTGGGTACCCCAAGTGCATTTTGAATCAAACCAGACTCCAAGGTATTTGAAGGCTAAAGATTGGGTAATGTCTCTGGACAAAAGATTTAGACGCAGTTGGGCTGGAAAACGCTTCATTGTAAACACTACTAATTTAGTTTTTTTTACGGTGAAAACTCGATCCCTAAATTTTTTGCCCAGAAATACAGAATATTTAGGGAATTTTGCAATGGTCTTTGCAAGATTTCCGCACGTGGACCTCTCATGGAAACCACGGCATCGTCTGCAAGCTGTCTAAGCGTGCATCTATTATCTAAGCAGTTATCAATATCTTTGACATAGAAATTATAAAGTAAGGGCTTTAACATGAACCTTGGGATAAGCCCATGTAGCTAATTCTAGAAGTTGTCAGTTGACCTAGAATAAAGGGTATTTGTTTTTCTGACAGCAAATTATACAAAAAAATTATTTAAAATACCGGGTAATCCACTACTGTGCAAATTGTCTGACAGTATGTCTATGGAAACAGAATCAAATGCGTCCTTAATTATCCAAAAGACTGAAGCCAAATACACCTTGTGCGCAAAGGCCAGTCGAATATCAGATGAAAGCATCGCTAGACAATCGTTTGTTCCATTACTATTTCGGAAACCAAATTGGCATATTTGAAAGTAGGTTGTTTGATTCAAGTCAAGACCAAGTCTTTGATAGGATTATTTTTTCAAAAAATTTCCTCAGGCATGATAACATACACACTTAGATTTTTTTCGCCGAGATGGGCACTACCGAGCAGCTCGGCATTTTATTTTGCTGGATCTCAGTGAAAACTTGCCGAGATTCAGCTAACAAACGGGAATTTTGCCGAGATCTCAGCTAACAAACATATTTTTTGCTGAATTTCCAGCAAAATAAAATGCCGAGCTGCTCTGTGGTGCCCATCTCGGCAAAAAAAATCTGAGTGTGTACAGATCGGAGTTGTGATCAGACGCTGGATTTCCAGGCTTTTGAATAGCTATTACTTTAACTTGTCTCCATGCTGGTGGAACTATATTGAATTCCATAAATGAATTATATAGGTTAAGTAATCGTCTTTTAGCAATATCGGGGAGGTTTTTAGAAGGGCAGCCCTACTTTTGCTCAATAAAACAGATGAAATTATCCTTAATAAGTAAAAAAATCTCCCTAAAATAGATCGGGTTGCTCCTTAAATGATTGATCAAAATTAGTTAAAAATTTTAAAATGCTCAGTAAATATTTAAAGTACGCTACCTAAAATAGAGAAAACTGTACATTAAGCATTTGAAAATGCTCTTTAGTATGCACCACTTTGCACCATTTTGAAGTGTAATTGTACCATTTATCATCGGAAAAGCTGCTGTAGAAAGGTTAATAAGTACCATGAAATCAGCTGAAATGTTCAGTAAAAATGCAAAAATGCACACAATGCTGTATGAATCCCGTAAATTTGGTTGTGCTGGTACAGAGTCTGGACAAGCCTGTTTAGCGAAGTCGAATATCCATTGGGAGGAGTATTCTTCACTCTCATTGGAAGATGAGCGGTTCCGCATATAGCGAACCTTTTTCCAAAGCGTTGTCATCGAGGTTTCTCTCGAAAGTCCCTCGATAAAAGTACGCCAGTAATTTCGTTTCTTTGCTTTTAGTAAGTTACAAAGCTTTTTTTTTCAAGCTTTAAATACTTTTTAAAAAGCTCAGATCTTTCATGTCTACAATAATCGGATTTTTCAAGATACAACTTTGTGCATTCGTCATCCCATCCAGGGGTGGCGTGTCTTCTTTTGAAGGATGCACTCGTCCAATGGTGGTAGAGGATCGGTAAAATCAATACCAAGAGTTACCGCCGATACAAATTTTTGCCAATCAATGTTCCTCGTGAGGTCAGAATTGACTGATCTGTTTTTAGACGCACACTTTTGATTGAAATAATAATTGGTAAGTGATCACTATCATTGGGATCATTGATAACCTTTTACAGACAATGTAATGATAGTGAGTTAGAGCACAAATATATGTCAAGACGGCTCTCTCGAGTAGGAGGTTTGGCTATTCGTGTTGCTTCACCAGTGTTCAAGATAGTCAAGTTGAAATCGTCGCACAAATCATAGAAAATACCCGCTCTATTGTCATCGTATGATTTTCCCTAGCCAGTACCGTGTGAGTTCATATCGCCCAGTATTAGAACTGGAGATGAAAGGATATTAACTGAACTCCAAAGCTGACGGAGGTTTATGAAAGTCCTTGGAGGATCATATACAAAAGCTATGCAAAGATCTTTGTTCTTGACATTTATTTGGCTAGCGACAATTTTTAATGCCTGAAATTATTAGGATTTATATTTTATAGAAAGAGTAGCACTTTTTGATCCCCAAAAGAACGCCACGATTTGAATAATCTTCATCTTCAGAAAAAGCCAAGTTTTACAGAGTGCAAATATATCACAATCAGAATTGTGGATCAAATACTTGAACGAGTCTAATTTAGGTATTAAACTACGAAAGTTCCATTGTAATAAAGTGATCATATCTTGATCCTCACTCGACGAATTATCCATCGAAAGATATGAATTCACCAATGACGGGCAATGATAGAGTCAATTGCTTGAGGTAGTTTGCGACTATAGGAACAAGCAGGTCAATAAGCCCTCGAAGTGGCGATTCGTCGGGAAAGCCGAGGGTATTCAAAATATTATCCACTATGTCCTTAAATTTAATCTTTCCTCGCTTA